ACAAATTGAACCAGATATTTCGAATGAGTCCAAATTTGTAAGCAATGTATCAGTGGCAACACCGCTTAGAAACGAAACGCCGACCAATTATCCGGCCTTCATTGGTCACAATTAATTACCCTCCTTTAATTACCAGTTTAATTATTTCTCACCGCTTCGGCCGAGACAGGCGACCGATACCAAACGTCAATTTTTATAAAGGAAACGCAGAAAAGAAATGCGGAGTCGAATTAAGTAGTCCGGGGGCAAGTTTTTCCATTTTAATCCAGTGATAAATATTATGGAATTATATACAGGGTGGGTCTTAAATAAGTGCTAATATTTTCAGGGCTGGTAGATCTCGATAAAAAAATATATTTTCTCTTTACCATTTTTCAAATAAGTCCAAAATATCGGAGTTATTTAAGTTTGAAAATTAAAAAAAAAATGATTTTTTTTTGGGAAAATTTTGAGAGCCACCGGATTTTTTCTGTATTTGCATCCCTTTTAGTGCCGTAACCATAGAGCAAAGCTGTAACTAATGGTAATATCAGAGATTAAGAATTTATACCGTGGGAAAATTTGCGGTGAACAGGCAGTTCTAAAATGTTTTCGAAAAATATACAGGGAAATTTAAAAGAAAATGCACGATTTTCACCATCTTTTTTTGCGAAAAAAAACCTCAAAGGCGTGTTCCTGGAGTCGAAATATACCACCCCTGAAAATATTTGCATTTATTTAAAACTCACCCTGTATAATTTATTATATTCTTCAATTTGAAATATTTCAAAAACGATAATAAACTAAATATATTTTTAATAATGCTCAATTTATAGTAGTTTCATATGAGTGGCAAATTTCGTGTATTTTCATATCATTCATAATAATTTAATTAATCATAATATTCATTTTATTACGGTTCAGGGTTGGAACCTTTGGTGGTAAAACAGCAAAATAAAACACTAATTCACTTACAATACACCAAAACACTTTATTTTGCACTGGGCGCGCGTTTCGCTAACCATGTTAGTATCATCAGCAGATGATTAAAACTAAAAAAAAGGTTTAATCATCTGCTAAAGATGTGTAAATATAAAGTGTTTTGGTATATTGTAGTGAAGTGGTGTTTTGTTTTGCTAACTAAATGTAAAAAATCACCTCGCTCATAATAACAGCATACCCTAAATGCAAAAAATTCAAAAAATGTTTATGCGCAACTCTCATATTTTTTACACTGTCAAATTCAAAAAGAATTTTTATGTTATACAGGGTGGTCCGAATTGTATTCCGGAAACTTCGGCAGCATATTCTGCAGATAAAAATAGGTAAAAAAGTTCCTATAAATGTATGTCCTAAAATGCTTAGTTTCGGAGATACAGGGTGTAGAAATCTCATTTTTATTTCGATTTTTTCCAAATAATTTCTGAAGTAACGTCAATATTTAGATGAAAATTGGTGTCTGGGAGTTTTTTGACATGAGAAATTTGATTTTGATGTCAATATGGCTCCTACTGGTAGAGGGCGCCACCTACATGTGTTAACTGTTTTGAAGCGTAATAACTTTTTGTCCGTGCCTGTATAAAACTACTGAGGGAAGATTTTAGGAAGATAAAACTACCGAGGGAAAAAATCTACATCTCTGTGATTTTTTACGTAAAAAATATCTCTTTGTAAAAATCGCGACGACCAACCGTTCTCAAGATATTTAGAACGGAAATAGTCAATACATGCCATTATAAAAATAAACACGTTTAGTAGATAGTTATTTCACCGAAATAATAAATTTGGAAAATTTTTATTTTTTTTCTGCAAAAAATGATGATAAAACAGTTTTTGTTGAACATTTGGTGCAAAAACATTTCAAATTTATGATCTCAGTCTAATAACTATTTAGTCAACATGTTTAATTTATGTCAGTGATGACAGGTATTGATAATTTCGATTGCAAATATCTCGAAAACCATTACTCGTAGCGATTTTTACCAAGAGACCTTTTTTACGTAAAAAGCGTCGTAAATGTATATTTTCTTACTCAGTAGTTTTATACAGGTACGGACGAAAAGTTATTACTCTTCAAACCAGTTAAAAAATATGTAGGTGGCGCCCTCTACTAGTAGGAGTCATATTGACATCAAAATCAAATTTCTCATGTCAAAAAACTCCCAGACACCAATTTTTATCCAAATATTTACTTCAGAAATTATTTGGAAAAAATCGAAATAAAAATGAAACTTCTACACCCTGTATCTCCGAAACTAAGCATTTTTGGACATACATTTATACGAACTTTTTTACTTATTTTTATCTGCAGAATATGCTGCCAAAGTTTCCGGAATACAGTTCGGACCACCCTGTACATCTCGTCAAATTACAAACAATATAATGGCGTAATGCGAGTCACATATTTCCAGAAGTAATCAAACGACTCTTAGAAACGCATGGCTTAAAGCACCGTTAAGGACATTTTCTATGTGAGAGAAAAAAATGCATTCAAACGCAAGAAACAAATCGTGTTCGTATTATCTACCATATCCCGCAGTAGAAAAAAAACTAATGGTTCTTTTGATAACTGTAAATATGTCTTTGACATTTCCTCGCGGTAATCTAAAGACTATTAAAGTAATAATATACATGCGATCAAAAAAAACGACGTTAAATATATGTTGGGTTTGGTTAAGCGATATCAACACCAGACAATTATACAATTATTATATTATAAAAAAAATTGTGACAGTATAAATATTTTTACGTAATGGCGGAATATATTTAATGTCGATTTTGCACACTTTCTGTGTATGTAATTAATATTAGTAGGTTAATCCTAAGTGGATTATGTCTGTCTGAGTGGAATGACTTTTTAAATTAATAAGTAGCCATTATGACTTTCACCTACGAAAAATACGATATACGTGAAACGACAAATGAGGAACTAAACAGTGGAAATAGAAACACTTAATTATTGCAAAAAAAATATTACGAAAATATAAGCATAACAAAATTAACATGTCAATGGTATTTTTGGCATAAGAAAAGAAGATGTTCAAAAAACTCAGAAACGTAAGTTTGCAGTTCGAACGATTATACAGGGTTCAGCAATAGTGCGTCGGGCATCTGTAGCTCCTAAAATAAAAAAGTTGTTATTTTGGTTTAAGCGCAAACCTAAAGTATGTACTAAGATGTATTTCAGGAAAAAAATTTTACTTCTATAGGATGGCTCAAAAAAGTGTGAGTGGATCGGGATTATTTTTTTAAATGGAAATCCTTGTATATTATTGCATTTGCACTTATTTTCAGATCACCTTTACATGACATAATACTAAGATATGAGTACCTAAATATATGTGGATAGTTTCAGAGATATTAATAAATATAAAAAAATATATATTTTTTAGCCTTTCTTAAAATAAATATTAAAAATACTAGAACTGTCCTGAAATCAAAACTATATTAGGTATTTACTTTGGATGGATTTTTTATCAAAGCCACCCAATGATTTTTCTTTCGTATTTTACCGTTAAAAAGAGCCATGAGAAATAATCCTGCATGGTATCTGCAAAACCATTAAAAATTTTGAAATACTTTAAATACAAAAACATGTATATTTTTTTAATTCTTCATCTAATAAAAATTAATATAAAGGGTTAAACTAAACGTTCTCCAACCTAATGTGAGTTTATTTTCCTGAGATATCAATGTAAAACCTCTAACGAGGAGTAGGGGACTCAAAAAAAAACACAATCTTTTAAGATGTTTATTTCAAAATTTAATTTGATTTAAAATTGGGGCGACATATTTCGGGACTCATTTAATTCCTATCCTCAGGCCTAGAAAGTTAAAATAATCACAATCAGAATAGTTAAAACAATTTTAATATGTCAGACAAAGGTCAGATTATAAAATACAATCAGAAACAAATTAAAAAAGTTAAAAAAAATTGTTTTTGTTTAAAAAAGTTAAAAATTATTTTTATCATAGACATCTTAGGTTAATGAAGCTTAATTAGAAATTAAACAACTGAATTACAATCAGAAAGGGCAATAATAATCAATTTAGGTTCAACAAGAGGAGTAACCAAAAAAAAACAATTATCAGAAAAAGTTAGGAAAATTATATCGAGGACTTTTTAGGTGAGGGGAACCAAATTATCAATTATAGTTATTTAAATGACGGGGAAGGAACGTGTAATAAGACAGTATTTATTTTATATTCTAAGAAACAAAGAAAAATTATTTTATATTTCAGAAAGTTTGGCGTATAATTTTGAATACCTTTATAAGATTACGATATTTATGGCAAAATAAGTATAGACCATCTAAAGTAAATGCTAATATAGTTTTGAGGCCAGGTTTTTGAGGTTTCAGGACATCTTCTTGTATCTGTAATAATTTGTTTAAGGAAGCTTGAAAAATATATATTTTTTATTTATTTGTTTATATCTCTGAAACTATCAAAACATATTTAATAATAACTATGAACCCTATATCTCAGGATTATATAAAGTGATAAGGAAGGAAGCCAAAAATGCAATAATATACAGGGTGTTCCATTTAAAAATCATCCCGATCCACTCATACTTTTTTGAGCCACCCTATAGAAGTTAAAATATTTTCCTGAAATACATCCTCGTGCATAATTTAAGTTTGTGCTTAAAACAAATTCCCAAGTTTTTTATTCTACACACTATTGCCGGACCTTGTATAGGAACTAAGGATGAGATGAGGTGTAGGGGAAAAATCTCTCTATTTTACTACCACAAATTTTTCCGAAATATCAATATCCCCTCAACACATAAACGTACAATTAATGTAATTAATTATTCTTATTTCAATCAATCCTATCAATGATTAATGAGGCAACGCGAATAAGGAAATATTATATATTTGGTCATTAACTTTGAATTATTTCTAAGAGAAAAACGTTCGCGAAGTGCACAGACGATGATTTGAAAGACTGGCGCCGGAGCACATTCCATCTAATCCCCGTTGTGCAAACGCTAATTACAAAAAAGGCGCATTATATACCGATTTGGGCGGCAGCTTCATCTATTATGCGCACGTTGCCACATTTAACAGGAAACCTTGGCAATAACAATGCTCGATCGTCTGTCTCTAGCATCTTGATGATCTCGACGCAATGGACCAGTTTTTAACCATTTCTCCTACTGTAAAAATGCAAAAGTACTTTTAAGTAGATTGTAATAATTGTATGGCAGGGAGGAAGTTAATCACCGCTATCTGTTGTATATCTATGTATAATCTATTGTAGACTTAAAAGATTTGTATATATTCCTCGGGAAAAATTCAGTAACGATGCGTTCCCTATTTTCCCCACAGATTATGCATTCGCTGTTGTTTCTTAGCTTCAATCTACTAAGGTATTTATTGAGCAGTGTCCTAGCTGTTAAAAACCCCGTAACAATTCAAAGATTGTTTTTACTTAAGTCAAGGAAAATCTTTGATTTTTCTCGGTCTTAAGTTCTGAGAAATTTCTTCGAGTGTCTTAGACCATTGGAGGATTCCCATTCCAGGTTACGGATGGAGTGTTCTAGGTTCTTGTGTTCAGCTTTAAGTTGGTTTCCACTTGGGAAGCAGAACGGTTCTGGTACAGTTAGTGGAGTTTTTGCTCCTTTTCTAGCTATATCGTTCGCTTTTTCATTACATTTTATCCCTTGGTAAGCTGGCACCCAGAGTAGGACTTTATTTTCTTTGCCTAATTTGTTCACCTTCTCTAAGCATTCTTTGAACAACTTCGAATGGATGGTTACTTTTAAATAGTGATGGGAAAAACCGATTAATTTCAATAATCGAGTACTCGAATATCAAGCGATTGCAATAACCGAGTGCTCACTCGAGCGAAATATCACTCGTATTTAAAAATAGGGTTTTCACCCGTCGCATGTTGTAAGTACTCGTTAACGCCAAGCGCCAAGCAGTAAGTTTCGTGCGCAGGGCACATATTCTTTCGGTAATGAACGGCAAGTAGTAAGCGGCGAGCGATTCGCTTGATCGCTTGATTTAGTTTATTTCGAAGCATTGTTGATGTAGGTCGTAAAATTTTGTCCCTCAGATACGCAACGGATAAATATACCGGGTGCGTCTCAAAAGTGGCTCACCCCTATAACTTTATTATTTTTTTTTAGAAAAAACGAGATTTCGTATGTTAGCATATGACATAAATTAGGATTGATTGATATATTCAATTGTTTTCGGTCACTTCCGGTTTGAACTTTTGATTTTTAAATGGCACCCTCGGTATTTTTTTACTTTATTCGGTAGAAAATGAATATCTGAATAGAATGACATATCACATGTCAACTTTTGACATTTTCACATATGGTTTATTTGAAATTGTAACATACGGTTCATAACGACAATTTGACTCAAAGTACCAAGTGTGTGGTATCAAATTGTTCGCAAAAAAATTCTTTTTCGAAATATGGTAATGAGCCACCCTCGTTCCATTTGAAAAAAATTGAGATATGATCAAAAAGACGATTTGGGCATCCTTTAAACCGGCCAGGGCAAGACACTAAAAACATTAGACGATCAAATCTATTTTTCCAAGGCTCCTTGATTAAAAATTAGTGTTTTTAACACAGCTATGGCACTCTAGATTGAAATTTAAAATACAATTTGTTTTTGAGCGAATATGTCAAAAGTTGACATATGATACGTCATTCTATTTGGAATGTCATTTTCTATCTATCTGAATCTGAATAAAGTATATATCTATCTGAATAAAGTAAACAAAAATACCGAGGGTGCCATTTAAAAATCAAAAATTGTAGTAATTTCCGGTGAAACAGGAAGTGACAGAAACCTATTGAATACCGTCAATCAATCCTAATTTATGTCATTTACTAACATACCAAATCTCATTTTTTTATCTAAAAAAATAAAAAAGTTATAGGGGTGAGCCACTTTTGGGACGCACCAATTTATACGGCGTCGCGCGTCGTATAAATTTGCTGCATGTAGAAAATTCGCTCGGCTTTCTATCGAGTATGTCACATTAAAATCGGATTTCAATTTATTTCATTCTAGGATCGCTTGCGTTCATCGCTTGGTACTCGTCACTTGCATCACTCGTTCATAATGGAGCGATGTCGGTTATTTCAATAATCGACTATTCAATATCCCATCACTACTTTTAAATAACGCTGGATCTAGTACTAAATCCTAATGCGGTCATTAGGATCTATTCTGCATCAGCTTCGTTAGAGAATTTAATCTTTAACGCCAAGTCTCTAAAGTCCTCTTCTATGCCCAGCACTGTTTTGCTGAATATTTCAAACCTAGTGCTCTTCCCAACTAGACAAGTACATACATTAATACAAAATGATCGATAGTCTTCACATTCCAAGCAGAGTTTGTATTTTGTAACTTCCAAAGAAGATATAAAAAATTGTCAAAAAATTTTGATACTTAAAGATGTGAATGTTAAATATTCCAATCTAATACCTTAATTTAATCCAAGTCCAGTTACTTATTTTAATATGTACTAGCAAAATTGCAAACTATCAACTGTATTAATTTAATTGAAAAAACGATCATGTTTTCATAACAATTTAGCAGTTGCAATAGTTTGAGATAAATTTTGCGTCTAGAGAAATTAATTCCAAAGAAAATCTGCGACGTAGTAGCAGCAAAAACTATGTAAAATTTTTTAACTTGTTTGGTCCACGGGTCAAGGATAAGCAGTCTGCATATTTTTGCAAATTGAATAAGATTAACTGATTATTTAATTCTGCGATATACTGACCTAGATCTTAGATAAACAAGCTTTAAAGTAGATAGCAAACAAATAATTTACTTATAGTATTGGAAAAAGAGTTCTGGTTTATATGTTTATTGACGTATATCGAAAAAAAACCTCTCTTACGTTTATACCAACCATCCGTAATACTGAATATCTATGTTTGAAAGTGGTATTCTTCTTGGACCGACATGGTCTTTAATTTTAAAATTTTACAAAACGTTTCGAAGAGATGTAACACTGACCGTTATCAAGTGTGAACATTAACAGTGAGTGATAAAGATACCGACAAAGAAAACTCTTAATAATAAGTTTCAAAGTCCATCGCTGCAAAGTTCGTATGAGTAAACACAATAATTTCTAAGAAAAAAACTAATTGAGTGTGCCCACTCTACGCATGCCTGCGCATTTTTCAAAGTTGGTAACCCTGAATATAGTAGATTGACATTGAACTCGAGAGAGAAAATATGTAGGGGTTTGTAATTGTACATTAGCAACGCCCACTTTGACTTGTCTTTGATAAAAATCTTATGTTACAATTATGGACTGCATCTAATACATACTTATTATTACAAAAAAATATTAAACTACAATTTAAATTACATATCAGGTACAGTAATACGTAATTTAATATTAATAATTTAGTCAATTTTTGTCTGAAATAATATTGGGGGCCATCCATAGGCTCTAATATTTAAACGTTCAAAATACCAGAACAGAATCCAACAATTAAAGAAATTAAAAGTTGCAATATTCGAAGACGTGTCTAAAGAACTAGCTCTAAAGACCTAATCAAAAGCCTTATGTTATTTTAATAATACATATTTATATTTTCGTCACTTATTCTGCTTTTTTATATTACAATGGCAGATAATATATAAAAACAATAATCAAAAGATCCATAATTACAGTGGAATTCGCTAATAATAGTTCAGAAAAATATACATAACTTAGTGGCAGCAGCACGGAAATATGACAAGGTTTACGAGAGAAAGGAAAAAAATAGTTGTGACACAGAACAGGGAACAATTAAAATATTTTCCTTGGCAAAAATTCGGAAAATACTAATTGTTTCGTTACTTCCACAAGACCCGGTTGCATACAATGACTAAGATGAATATTAAATAATTAAAATATTTTAATGAAAAACCACTAAGTACCTATAAGCAGAGGTTTACACTATAAAGGAAGCGGCCAGTTGTGTACGAGGGAAAATCTCTGATAGACCAATAATAGGAGATCACCATGCAATCAGTGAGATCGAAAATTGTGATGGACTGAAGAGGGGCCAAGGAAGAGGCTGTGGCAGATGACCTACTACTTGTGACGATCAACAAACTGCAGGAAGTTACAGGAACTACCATCAAGGCCAAGCAACAAAGGACGTGGCAACACCGTGAGGACTGCACTATAGCTCTAAGACCGTGGCCAGTGGTGGATAGTAAAAAGACAAAATAACTACTGGAGCACAAAAAGAACCTAGTACGCATAATTGTAGGTTTCATCACTGGAAACTGCTCCACAGGGGTAAACCTCGTGAAATAGAAGATTTCCAACGACAAATACTGCAGAGAATGCGGAGAGGAAGAAGAAACTATAGAGCACATACTGTACCATTGTCTGGCACTGGAAAACCGACGCTTTGAAACTTTAGGGCACTTTTTTTTGGAGAGACTAGAGAAAGCAACAAAAAAACAAAATCAGTGACATCGGGAATTTTGCAAAGAGCTGGAACGCAAAAAAAGAATGAGAAGGTTTGGTACAATAATATAATAGAGAGGTATCGCAATGGGCCCAAGGCCTCCGAGTAAGGGCTCAAACAGGATCCGAAACCCTAGCAACCTCACCTAACCTAAGTACCTATATGCTAGTGGTTTAGTATTTAATCTTCATTGGAAGTTAAACAAAGTTCTTTTTTTATAATTTGACGATTTCTGATCTTCTGATAAATGATTAGCTCACTTTAATTTTGAAATTAACCTTTTTTTTTTATTTTGAATAAATATACCTAATGAGCAGTGTAGATATCAGAGAGGTACATCCGGCAACAACATCAATTTACTAATTGAACGCCTTTTAAAAACGATACTGGTAAAATGCACGGGACAGTCTTTGTTCATGGTCATAGACACTTTCCAATTACGACATACCCTGTGTGCATTCTATTGCAGAGGAAGTGTACCGGGAATAGTCAGAATATTATGAATATACGCATACATTGTCAGGGATAATGTGCTCCAAAGGAATCTCATAAACATCAATAATTAATTGAATGACGTAATTCACTTTTTAGCTTATTTTTAATAGCTTTTGAAGTAATTAACCATAAAAGTGATTTCAAATATGTTCAAAGTGTAATA